TGGTCGTTAGCCAATAGCAAAACTGTTTTAGAATCAGCAATGTTTTCATTAAGTATTATTTGCGAAGCTTTAGCTAATATAAATAGTAAACGAATGACTGTTTATAGTTCACAAAACTTGAAGTCGAATAATAAAATACCTTAAAAATAAAACAACTTCAACAGTCAACCTACAGCGAGTAAAGATGCCGATATCTTCGCCCAAAAGGTTTCTAACAATCTTTTACTAAACATAAAAATCGGCGGTTTCTACCTCTTAGCAAAACTTTTATTCGTTTTGAATACGTAATTAATAACAATTGTCCGTTAATATAAATTTTTCCTAAATACTTTCTGTAATAGAACTGTTCTGTATCAGTATTACGTACGCTATCGTAATAAGTCTAACTCTTTAACAGCAGTAAGAGACAACAACAACAAAACTATTTTCCAGGTGAGTATATTCGTCGGGTCTGCATGGAAATGGAGCGAAAAGAGACAACAATACTACCTTCATCAGTTTGCGGTTGAACAAGCAGACTTCAACTTCAGAAACCCAGCCGTCAAACAGGAGATGTTTGAAATTATGAAGTTCTGGTTGGATAAAGGCGTTGATGGCTTCAGAGTTGACGCGCTACCATACCTGGTAGAAGCAGATCCAGCTGACCATGGTGGAAAGTACCCTGATGAGCCTCTCAGTGGACTGCCGCAGTTCGAATCACATCAGCTAGGCTACACAATTCCTCTGTACACCAAAGACTTAATCGAATCGTACGACGTCATATACGAATGGAGAGATTTTATCGATGAGTACAATAAAGAGCATGGAGGAGATACCAGGTGAGTAAGGAGTTTAAGACGTAGGAAAGATTTCTTTACAATTTAAAGATAACTATAGCTATTTCAAATTGTCCGTTCTAAGTGATGGAAGTCTTATAATTGGAATACTATGTAAGTATCCAATGAATCCTATAAGAAGGCCCAAAATTATTATACTTGAGTTAACAACAAATTGGAGATGGAAAATTTGGAAACTTCAATAAAATTTAAGGAATACTTTGTAATTTTCGTCTTTCTTTAATACCGTTATAAAGGTATTTTGGGAAGTATGCTATAGATTTGAACCTTCACGGAGCAATAAGTCTAAGAAATTGTTTTCTTTAAGTTCCGAAAACATAATTTTCCATTTCTAGGGTTTTATTCTCAGAAGGGTATGCCAACATAACCATGACTATGTTATACTATGGAAATGAAGAAGGAAGGATTGGTACCCACATCCCGTTCAATTTCGACTTCATCACCGACGTGTCATCTAAGTCTAATGCGAGGGACTTTGTCTACACCACACTGAAATGGCTCACCTACATGCCTTATGGAGCAGTAGCTAACTGGCAGGTAAAATTATGAAGTGTTCAGAAAACTTTTTGATAGATCATCGACATATAGGAGACATGTACAAGCTTTTATAAAGTGAAAAAATATAATATTATGACAATTTTTGTAACAACGTAAACTGTTTGATTTTTTTTAGTTCGGTAACCACGACAACAACAGAATGCCGACGCGGTTCCGTCACGACATGGTGGACGGTCTCAACTCTCTGAACATGATGCTGCCCG